GAGGCATCTGTCTACCAAAATACCACTAGACCAGGGGCCTCATGTATCAACGCTGGCGGTGCCAGAAAACCTTGTGTCCGCCAAGATCGGCGCACACGTCCAGATTTATCATCGCGAAACGAGCGTCGGTTCCAGCACTAATCAACACAAAGTGAGGAGGTGGTGTAGAAGTTGGCGTTGAGCCGATACTTGCGTTGACGGCACTTTGGTGACGCTGTGTGGCAGTGTTTGGTGACTCACTATGTGACAAGCGTGCACCACATCCCCGGGGCCGAGCAGCACGTCGCCCGACATGACGAACCAGCAGCAGACACAGGGATGCGAGCTGATCCCTGCCGGGCCGCCGTCCTCGCGCGGGAGAATCTCATCGCCACAATGTGAATGGGTAAGAAGTGAATACACAGTTCAATGAGCCAAATTAATTTATTTTCGCCACCAGACGCTCGAGGATTTACGAGCCGGACCAGCTGCTTGTTGATCCCCGCAATCCCCCTGATGATTTCTTCCGCCTCCGTGAGGACCCTTCCACTGCGTCCGGGTAGTCCAGCAGAAGCGCCGCGGCTGGTGGACGCTCCACCGCTTGTCAGCGCGGTGGTGCTAATGCTGGTGCTGGTGCTGGGGCCGGGGGCCGGGGTGGCCTGAATGCCGCTGGTCCTGGCCGATGACGCCGAGCCGGCGGACGGGCTGCCGCAGGCCGGGGTTCCGCAAGCCGGCGACACGGCTGACACATTGATTTCTGTGACACAATAAAAGTATTGGTTCATTCAATTCCTGCTTCTGTGTATCTGTTGCGTTTACATCCCTCTCCAAGGTATCATAGGTAATGTAATCCAGTATTTAGAGGTCAGTTATGCACATTACAGTTGTTTATAGCATAAAAAGTTATCGAAAAATGAAGTTAAGGGCGAAGTATAAATCACGTCTAAAAATAGACTGAATCCAGACGTTGAAATGAAGTATAAACTTAGACTAGACGTCTAATATACGTCTTTTGCTCAGTGGGATGGCAAAGCATGTGGACATTTGTGTGACACGCCACTTACCCTATAATAATAATCGCCACCACCCGCTGCTCATACGGCGTGATGGTCTCCTCCCCTGGAACCCCACCTGTCTGGCGGGTACTCCTCCGGAGGGCAGCTGTACACCGCTTGATCTCCACCTTGAGGTCCGACCACTGTTTTTTAATCTCCGGGGGGGTGCGTGTCTCGGAACCCACCGCGTTCACCCTCTCGCAAACTTTCTCCCACTCCAAGCGTTTTCGTTTTGCACTGACGCCACTGGACAGGCTGCCAAACAAAACACGCTGTCGCTCCTCCACCTCCGCCACCAGCACCTCCACCTCGCACGCCGTAAATTTAGTTTTTCTTGTCATTTTGTCTGCGTGCGAGGACAGGGAGACCCTATTTAAAAAAATCTGCATATTTATAGGTGGGCGTAACAGGGGCGGGCCCGGTCACTCCGAAATCTGCACTCAATTCCAAGCTGACTGGGATTTATCAAGGAAACACACGTGGCTTTCGGCGCCCGCACACCTTGATACATACAGATTTTTTTCAGCGTGACGGACCTTGCGTGCGCTCGTTCCTGGTATGAGTCCCACGCAAGTGTTGATACATGAGGCCCCAGCTGAGCTCCGCCTGCACTGAAAGCTAACCAGGTTTGAATCGGCGAGTTTTCAGCGTACTTTCCACGCCGGCGGTGAGCACGAAAATGTCACTGTGCCAGCTGATTCTGTCGACACCTCCCCCTGCCACACCACCATGCCCAGCTTGGCGCACCTTGATGCGCCTCACTCTACAAAAATACCAAACCAGCTGTGCGCCTCACTCTACAAAAATACCAAACCAGCTGTGCGCCGGGCTCTGCCAGACTAAAAAAAACTGTGCAGGGTGCGCAATGTCCACCACGCTGCCGGTAGGCACAAAAATAGAGCCCACAAAGTTAAACTGGAAGTGTTGAAGAAGTTTTGTTGAGCTCCTCCTATCACCTGCGCTTCCCATGTATAACCAAAAACAGAGCCATTTTGCTGTCTGTCTGTCACTTCAAAATAAAGGCAGACATGTTAAAGCTCTTTGTTGTGCATAACTGTTATTGTTGCATGATTAATTCATTACCACATTAGCCCTGACATAAACAGATCTGCCAGTACCAATTAACAACTTTATGAGCTTTTTGAATGCTGCGTTTTGTCTTTCCCCTGTAAAAGGCAGAGGCTGGTTTTCTGTGCCAGCTCTGTTATTTTAGAGATAAATAAAACAAGATAACTTTCAAAAGTCTACATCAAATAAACAATATGCTTGGAAAATTGCACACATAGTTCCCTGGTTGTCTGACTTTAATCTCCAGACCACACTTCTAAAAAGACGAGCCTGTCATCACAGCACAGTGAGGAAACAAGTAATACAGCTCTAAATTATTGCTTACACTGAACTACTGAAGGAGAGCAATGGCTGCTCTAATTGCAGCTCTCTCTGACCTCAAGGACCAGCGGCTGCCCAAACAGCAAGTTAACATCCAGATTTGGAAGAGCTTGTTTTAGGGCAGACAAATTAGGACAATGAATGGTCTCCCTCCCAGATGGTGATTTGCATGGGTGTATTTTGATCAACTGCTTATTTTTCACATTTTGCTATTGTACCTAATTATCATAATGTGCTCTGACACTCATAATACATAATTTGAAATACTTGATCACTTCCTACTATATGGTCTCCTTGTAGAAATCCTCAAAATGGTCCTCAGGCTGTTAAAATCAAAGGATGAATGGTTTAGAGTGAGCTTCAGGATTCAATCAAGGTTAATGGTGTCTGCTGCAGAAATCCACACACAGCCCATTGTTCCCTGTTGGAAAATTACAGCCAATTCTAGTCTGGACTTAGAAGTGGTGTGTTAAAATGAGGAATGATAACCTCAGTGCTCCTCAGACAGGGGATCTGTGGGGCCCAGATAAGGATCATGGGTATTTATTACTCTCACAAGAGCCCTTGGCCTGCCAATTTGGATTATGGGTCTCCTGGGAATATTGAACAAATATTTGAGAAGGGGCTTGGGTATTTGTTACTTTACACCACTCAATAGAAAACAAACACCTTTTTACACAAAACGATGCATAAAACTGAAGCAGCTCAAGTCTTCACAGGTGCTAATGTCAGTCATATAGTCAGCCTCTTATTCAAACAGAAAATACGAACAATCCTACCTCTGAGGCTGGAAATATAACAACTCCATTAAACATGCTGGTATGCTCAAATATGCATTGGGAGACTGAGTGGACCCTCTTTGAGTTTGTTATGGTAAGTAAAAACATATGAAAGAGTGAGCCAGGTGTTGAAGTGTGGCTGGGATTACACCTTTGAGTGTATTTCACCCAAATGTCCATCAGTTTTTGAAAAGTATATTGCATGTGCTTTGATATCTGTGTTCCTGGTTATATTTATCTACATTAAATCAGGTCCCTACAGTAAAGGAATAATTAAAAGGAAGCACTAAAACTTAATTACATACATGATTAAAAAGAAATTTTGCTATGTCCCCTGAATGCAGTTACTGGTTAATGATGAAATTAACGGTGGAACTATCTTGTGCAGTCAAATTACATAGAGCTGGCTGCTGCAGCTCTGCGTCTGCTTTTCAATCCAGCCATGATTAAAGTTTTATTCCTTTTATGTGGAAACACGGCACTTCTTGCATACTGAAAACGGTCTCGCTCCCCGAGCAGCCAGACCACTCTTTTCTAAACAGAATTGAATATTTCGATGAGGAAAATCAGGATTTCACAGACACAATAAATCAAATCCTTGCACAAATTTAATCCTCCTCTTTTCAAGAACACATTTTTAAAATCATAATAATAATAAAAAAACTCATCTTCGTTTAGTAGAAAATATTAAAACTAAATCAAGTCTGTTAAAAATGATTGGATGAGAGGGTTAATTGCTATGTGTGCTATGTGGGAGTGTGCGGCTCTCACTTCTTGTTAGACCATACAGTTTTGTAGAATAAAATACCAGCAGAGCAATGTTTTGTTTCAATGAATGTACAGTAGGGGGCTTTTTACACATCTTCTAACAAAAGAACAAATCTGTCACAATGCAATGATTTCAATGATTTAGTGAAATTAAATAAATTCACAGTCCCTTTGACTGCTGTTGAAACTGCTTCTGTAGGATCCAAAAAAAAAACAGTTTCTTGTTCTCCAAACTTAAAACACACCACCTATATTTGACAGCAACATCTATAGAAAGCCACACCTGACTGGGCTTTCCACTCTCTGTGTAGGAACAAATCCTCCATCCCTCAGTCATGACTCACAGAGCCCGGCTGATTAAACTTCACTTCAGTGCCTGTTGTAATTACACACACAAGACCTTAATTTGTGTTTATTAGTGCTTTTGTATATCTAAACCACATATTACTGTAAATTAAAATTGGTCTTGCAGGCAGAGGGTTTGGATGGGGGCCATTTAGTTTTGGTCTGCTGTATTTGTGTCTGCTTTCATTCTGCCAATGGTCTAAAAAAGGGTAGTATTTTGATTTGCCCTTTGGAGTTGGGACCAATCATGGGCAGCAAGTCACAGCTTCATTGTATGCTTTTCCAAAAAGGTTACTCCACCAGAGGGAGGAGTACAGGCCATTTTCATATTGAAAGGTTGGAGTTTCATTCCAAAAAACTGGGCTTCCTTATTCACATTTCCATGCACAGATGTACGCATAGAAAAGGTGACGAAGGAAACCTGATGATCTTTCCAAAACACAGATGTTTTACAGATTAGCAGATTCCTGAAAATCAACCTCTTAACACGTACCTGTTTCATGTTGGTTAGATATAAACAGAGTAAAGTTAGAACAAATAAAAACACATGTAACTCAGAGTGGTGTTATAAGGCACTCAACTCATGAGTGGGTTAATGAGATTTGATTTGAATTGAAAATCTTTATTGTCTCCTAAGGGCAATTCAGTTTGCAACAGAAGTTAAAAACACACATTCTTACAATACCTCACATTGCAGAAATGCATACATCCAATACCACACACAAATACAATAAATAAATAAATAAATACACAGGGTGAGGACAGACTAAGGGCTCTATTTTCGTGCCTCGCCGGAGACGTGCAGCAGGCGCCGCGTAAGTCAGGTCTGCCGCGACGACAAGGCGTTCCCAAGCACAATTTGGTATTTTGGTGAGCGGCCAAAGACCAGCTGCGCTCCGCCTGCGCTGAAAGCTGACCAGGTTTGAATCGGCGAGCTTTCAGCGCACTTTATACGCTGGTGGCGAGCACGAAAATGTCACTGCGCCTGCTGATTCTCCCCCTGCCATGCCACCACGCCCAGCTTGGCTGATCTTGGTGCGCCTCAGTCCACGAAAATACCAAACTGGCTGTATGCCGGGCTCCGCCAGACGAAAAAAAAGTGCGTACACGAAAATAGAGCCTATTAAGATGCAGACAAGAATCCTTACACCAGTAAACAAAATAGTCAAGGACAGGACCATGTCCATCCTCATTATCCTGCGGAAGGTTTACAAGCACTGAATCATCAGCAAATTTTATGATCAACCTCAAATCAAACATACTCTTACAGTCATTAGTGTAGAGCATGAACAATAAAGGGGACAGAACACACCCCTGAGGTGAGCTTGTGGAGCACAGCAGGGTCTCACACAGACAATCATTGACACAAATTCTCTGTGGTCTTGCTGTCAGAAAATCAACGAGCCAACATATGGTTCTGAAGTCAATGCTGGGTATTTTTGAAAGTCTGTTGGCAAGAACATACGGCTGCATGCAGTTAAAGGCTGAAGAAAAATCAGCAAAGCATAAACGTGCATGTGTTTTCCTACCCTCAAGGTGCTTTACAACTAAATTCAACAGTGTTGCCGCTGCATCCTCCACCCCTTTCCTGGATTGATAGGCAAATTGGTGCAGATCAATCACTGCCTGTGCCATACAAAGTAAACCGTTCTTCACTAAGGGCTCAAAACTCTTCATCACTACTGATGTGAGGGCCACGGGACGATAGTCAATTAAGTATTTTTGGTGATGGGACTTTTTTCCTTAAATTTGTCTTGTCAAAAGTGCTCCACACACTGATTTCATCAATCTGAATCTGACTGCTTACTGGGGCAGCCGTGAATACGGACAGTTCATCAGAAAAATCATTTGAATCAAATCTTAAATAAAATTAATTTAATTCTTTAATTAAGACAATACAGTTTTTTTCATTAAAAAAAAACAAACCTTAATGATAAATTCCATGCCTGAAAACATATTATCATTGAAATACGTGTCACAAGATGCAAAGAAGAGCAGGGCTATTTTTAAGCGTTTCAACCACCATCATCTTGAAATAAATGTTATTTCACTTCTACTGAAGCATAAATTGTGAAGACCAAGTATGAAGTGCCCAATACAGCGAAAGACGTCAGATAGTAAAAAAATGAATACAAATTTTTGCACCGACAATGATTCATGCAGGTAAGTCTAGCATTGAGTATAGTAAAGGGCAGATTAAGTCCAAATATGACCTTAGCTAAACTGCAGAAAACTTGCTTGTGATATGAAATCAATTCTCAATTGGATTTTCCCTTGGGGATAAATTAAGTTCTTGTTATCCTATTTTACACTGACCAGCCAGAACATTATGAACACATGAACGCATTAGAGTGGCAATCCAATGCAGCCCAATACAAGTCCAATAACTCTCTGTCTGATAATGTCAACAAAGATAGTGGAGCTGTTGTATTGGGTTGCATTCGCTTGCCCAGGTGTTCATCATTTTAAGCCTGGTGATGTATTTTCCAAGACCAAGCTGACAATTCCCATCGCTCATGAGAATTCTTACTTGACCAAAATGTACCCTAGCATAGAAACCTATTAAAATACTGTATGCAATAAAATAACTTAAGCACACAGGCAGAAGTGAACAGAAAACATGTACAACTGTATCACATACTCAGATCAAAGATAAACAGTAGCATTTACAGTAGCAAAGCACTGACGCAGCCTTAACTTGAAGGTCTCCTATTATGGCATTTTTCATCAAGTTTAAATCAGTCCCAAAGGTCCTACAATCGTAAATTTTAAGTTTGTTGTCTAAAACACCAGCTTATTTGTGGATATCAGCCAGCCTGTACCCCCCTCTTTTTGAGCTCCACTGAGAACAGGCTGATTCTGCGCCTGTACCTTTAAATCATAATGAGCTTTGTGTAACCACGGTCTTCCTCCCCAATGCCACTCTGAGCTGCCGGCACCACTGGGGTGGTCTGGAGATCTTTAGAGGACCTCCAGACCACCGCGGCTGGGAGCACCAGCCTGTCTCCGCACCCCCGAGAAACACCTGCTGCTCACAGGAATAAAAGTAAATAGAAGCGTGTCCGAAGCTGAAAACTATGGTAAACATACGTGATTGCAGCCAAAGCACTAGTCATACAGGCGGTGGTAAAGCAACATAAAATGGTAAAACCATAGACTGTATATACTATGGACAACTTGGTTTCGCCTCCCGCCTGTATATGGATTTGAATCCAAAAAACTCGGTATTTCCAGGATTTTTCTTCATTTCCTGAAACCAGCACTGTGCAGTAGCATTGTGTGGTTTCGGTGGGAGAGTCGCTGAGAGTCGCTGTGATGACGCTCGGCTCAAACAGCATATACCCCGGGTGAGCTACGCAATCCCTGAACGCCAGAAAAAAACAGAGCTTCACAGAAAAATGTTGACTTGAGCACAAATCAGTCTTACTGTAACTACATGTCAACATCGCAAGCAGGGAGGAGAAAAATGTATGTTCTGTGTAATTAATTTCTAAAGATTGTCCACAGCTCAATAGGCCTTGCTGGCGGAGGCAGGATTTATGACATGTACTGCAGTTTCCACATTTGAAGTTGGGTCCCTGGCATGGTCAGTTGATATGGATCCAGGTTTTATCTTCAGCTTCTTAGTGGAATCCTGCTTTGAAATGCCCCTCATTGGTAAAACAGTCCATGGTGAAACGGTTAGCATACACATACAACATTTTCAGAGTTGTTGTGAGCACATTTCCTTAAAAAATAAAATTAATTCACTGGGTCGGTTATGTCGTCATAACCCCACAGCTTTTCTATTTGCCCGTTAGTGCTCATATTTTCAGAAAGGAGGGAAAAGCAAGAGAGGGGGAGAATACATTTTTTTCATGTCAGGGTGGGTTGTGGGCTTCGAGGGGATGCATATTATTGGTAGAAAACCACCCAAAAGTGGATTTTTGGTAATAGGGGACCTTAAATGGAATGAAACCAAAGAAGAAGAAAAAAAATTAAAATTGCACTCTAGGTGGTCGAATTAATATAATACAATACAATACAAAAACTTAATTTATCCCCAGAGAGAAATTCCTTTGCCCGGGATCTCAGATCAACTGCTTATAAACCAAGCTGTGATCTGACCTGCCCAGTGGTGGTAAGGCAGTGGCTTTGTCAGCGTCTTTGATGCTGGCATACATCAGAACCAGGGTTTTGTTTTCTCTAGTAGGAAAGTTAACAAACTGTGTACCAGCCATTTTATCTGTATTATTTTGGGGGTTTTGTTTTGTTACTCGCACAATTGCCACAAGGGGCACGTCAGGTGAATGGTGCTACAAAAGGGACCCAGGTGAAGTAGTGATCTGGGGAATGGGAAGAGCACACTGCTTTTACCGCTAATCTCCGACACCACTCTCACCCTCATCACGTACATCACCATCGTTGTAATTTGTACGTATCTGTCTTTTTTTGTTTGTTTTTCATTCACTCACTAAATGGCAAAGATATAATTCAACAGCAACCTTGGACTGGACATTGGATTGTACTAGAAGCATGTCAAAAACACCTCAATTCCACACTCAGACAGTGTTTAATTCAGGTCAGCATAGTCACTACAAACTGTGTAAATCCAGGTGAGACAATAGGGTGACAGAACTTCAGCCGTTGCCTTGGGTGGGATGTATAAAAGTATTGTTATGACAATATCAGCTTCCCTTACAGTGCTCTTAGGGCCTTGAAATCCTGGTAGTTTCCAAGGAGCAAATCCAAAAAGAGGGATAGAAGATGGCCTAAAATATGGGAAAATATTGGGGAAAATGCAAGGTTTGCAGGTATGTCATCACAGTAGGTTTGATATCAAGACGTCCAAGTCTGTTCTCCTCTTAATAATGTAACGGCACAATGGGATGACCATAAAAGGCTAGAGGTCAGGGGTGATCTGTTTTGTTAACTCTAAATACCAGTGCTTGTTTTCTCATGATCCAAGGTTAATTTATCTTAGACCAAGTCAAAGAATATGATTTTAACATGAAAAAAAGAAAATCACTTATAGTACATTCTCATGCTTTTTCTTCAGGAGGAAGGATAATTATCGAAAGCTGTGGACGAAGTGTTCATTTGATCTCTGATGTCAGCCTTAAAGATCACTGTCAGAATTGTTGGGTATGATTAATAACTGAACATTTAGTTACAGTGTGACATCATTTATTATGTCTATTACTCTGTTTGGTTCATGTATCCTAATTGTGTGACTCCAGGACACCCACCCAATTATTTGGTGTACTCAATCTGCAGCTGTTATTCTTTACCAGAACACCTGCCAGTGGTGAGTTACTAATTGCACAATTGTCATGTCAAGCCTACAAATATTAATGTCTGTTGTCAAATCTCAGGGATTCAATATTTACTTTAATCCTTTAATTGCTTTGACAGTAAATCCTGGATGGGGCTTTGTAAATCATACTAGATATCTGAGGAGCACACATTGGGCTCTATTTTCGTGTCCGCCGGTGACACGGTGGAGTGTGGCGGACCCTGCGCAGTGATATTTTCATTTGGTGGAGCCCGGCGTACAGCCAGTTTGGTATTTTCATGGACTGAGGCGCACTGAGGTCCGCCGAGCTGGGCGTGGTGGCACGGCAGGGGGAGGTGTCGACAGAATCAGCTGGTGCAGTGACATTTTCGTGCTCATCGCCAAGGTGTAAAGTGTGCTAAAAGCTCGCCGATTCAAACTTGATCATCTTTCAGGGCAGGCGCAGCGCAGCTGGTCTAGTAGTATTTTAGTAGACTGGCGTATCGGCATACGTCACTGATGCCTCACCGGCAGGTTCCCACAGTGTCAGGCACATTTCAGTGCAATAAATAATCATCAACAAGTCAGCACATACATTTAGGTCTCACCGGCCACTTTATTAGGTACACCATGCTAGTCACGGGTTGGACCCCCTTTTGCCTTCAGAACTGCCTCAATTCTTCGTGGCATAGATTCAACAAGGTGCTGGAAGCATTCCTCAGAGAGCTTGATCCATATTGACATGATGGCATCACACAGTTGCCGCAGATTTGTCGGCTGCACATCCATGATGCGAATCTCCCGTTCCACCACATCCCAAAGATGCTCTATTGGATTGAGATCTGGTGACTGTGGAGGCCATTTGAGTACAGTGAACTCATTGTCATGTTCAAGAAACCAGTCTGAGATGATTCCAGCTTTATGACATGGCGCATTATCCTGCTGAAAGTAGCCATCAGAAGTTGGGTACATTGTGGTCATAAAGGGACAGACATGGTCAGCAACAATACTCAGGTAGGCTGTGGCGTTGCAACGATGCTCAATTGGTACCAAGGGGCCCAAAGAGTGCCAAGAAAATATTCCCCACACCATGACACCACCACCACCAGCCTGAACCGTTGATACAAGGCAGGATGGATCCATGCTTTCATGTTGTTGACGCCAAATTCTGACCCTACCATCCGAATGTCGCAGCAGAAATCGAGACTCATCAGACCAGGCAACGTTTTTCCAATCTTCTATTGTCCAATTTCGATGAGCTTGTGCAAATTGTAGCCTCAGTTTCCTGTTCTTAGCTGAAAGGAGTGGCACCCGGCGTGGTCTTCTGCTGCTGTAGCCCATCTGCCTCAAAGTTCGACGTACTGTGCGTTCAGAGATGCTCTTCTGCCTACCTTGGTTGTAACGGGTGGTTATTTGAGTCACTGTTGCCTTTCTATCAGCTCGAACCAGTCTGGCCATTCTCCTCTGACCTCTGGCATCAACAAGGCATTTCTGCCCACAGAACTGCCGCTCACTGGATATTTTTTCTTTTTCGGACCATTCTCTGTAAACCCTAGAGATGGTTGTGCGTGAAAATCCCAGTAGATCAGCAGTTTCTGAAATACTCAGACCAGCCCTTCTGGCACCAACAACCATGCCACGTTCAAAGTCACTCAAATCACCTTTCTTCCCCATACTGATGCTCGGTTTGAACTGCAGGAGATTGTCTTGACCATGTCTACATGCCTAAATGCACTAAGTTGCCGCCATGTGATTGGCTGATTAGAAATTAAGTGTTAACGAGCAGTTGGACAGGTGTATCTAATAAAGTGGCCGGTGAGTGTAGATATATTCTGATCTATATCTGTTCTGATGAGTGCATTTGGCACGTGTTTGGACAAACAACCTGACCGAATCAACACAGCTGAAACCGCATTAAATTAAATTCTATATCTAGTATATAGACACACATGATGAAGTTAACAAGATATGTAATTCGTCTCCCTCCTTTTCTTTCTTCCTCTTCCTCTTATTTCTCACGCAGCTTGACCTGGACATGTCTCCGTGTCCTCTCCCCGTCCTGCTGCAGCTGTTGCTGATTTATTTTAGTGATCAGATGAGTTATTTATTTTAAGGGTATATACGAATATTATAATATTCAGTTTTGTGAGCCAAATTTATTTTATATGCCAACATCTATGGAAGAAAGAGCTAGATCACGGCACGCGATGTGTCATTACGCTCAGATGGTTCCAATTTTAATGCCATTATTGGAATTTATGTTTTGATCTGTGCGCACAACCCACCTTTGTCACGTGAGGTTTGAATATATGCAACTTTATGTGAGTGTCTTTATCTGTGGAAAAGGGTGTTTGTCTTATTAGTCCAACATTACACACACCAAATCCATCTGTGCTTATATGAGAGAGTGTGAAGGACGCCCTATGCAGTGCTTACAGCGACACTTGTTGAGGGGCTGCCTTCTGTCGCCATCGTGTGGCATTGCTGTCTTCAGACATCTCTTGATCTCTTTGACTACTGCCCAAAAATTGTAATACACCTCACCGGTGGCAGATTTAAAGGTGAGGAGAGGAGCTGATGTTATTGGTCAATACAGGTCTTGCCTGTGTTAAACCCACTCCACACCCTCTCTCCTTCCTTCCTACGACTTAGGGGAGGAGCTGAGTTAGGGAGGGGGGATACTTACGCAGGGCTGCGCTGCTCACCAAAATACCAAATTGTGCTTGGGAATGCCTTGTCGGCATTCCCAAGACGTAAGTCAGGTCCGCCACGCCTGCGCCACGTCGCCAGCGAAGCACGAAAGTAGAGCCCATAATAGTTCTAATTCAGAGATTAAAATGCCGAAGGCATAAATGTTTCTCCTTTTTTGAGGTCAGGGTCACATTTAATCATCTGTAGCTCATTTGTGATCCAAAAACAAAATCACTTTTTTTTTTCTTTTAGTTCCAAAACCAGAAACGGGCTAACCATCTCAACCAAATCAATCAAAACCAAAGTGCCTTTGTTATTTATCTTTGGTTATTTCTTTTATCCCTTTATTATTTAAATTGAATACTGAAAAGGTCATTTGGTTTTGCTTCATGGTTTCCAGCTGAAAACGAAGTCACATGGTCTCTTCCTTTTACCTTTTAAGATGAAAATTAACAAAGTCACATGGCCAATTTGCTTTACTGTTTCCTGACAAAGAGCAGGACAAGCAAGCCACTTTTTAAAATTGCCATAGTCCTTTTAGCATATCTCATTAAGGTCAGACAGTCAAAGGGTGGGCAGAAGTCAGGCAGAAGTGGCAATTCAAAATTTTCACAATAAAAGCAAAAAGGTCAGCACAGAAAGTAGCAAGTATTGAGCATAGAATGTACAAATTAGATAAATGCCAGAGGAAAAATTAAAAACTAATAACTAAGTCCTGCACAAATTTCATAAGGGTCTGTTATGTAGGATTTTTACACGTGACCTTTCAAATAGTTACTTTAAAACATTAAAAGGAGGCCAAAGGTAGCCAAAGATGAAAAATGGGCCAAGGTGCTTCGACTTGGATTTATTTGCTCCAGAGAGTAAAATGAGTATCCTGTTTCTGGTTTTTGAACCAAATGGAAAGGTTTTTTTTTGTTTCTGGATCACAAATGGACTACAAATTGTACGATGATACCTTGACCTCTTTTTGTCTTGAGGAAATAAAGCTTGTTTAATTAAGATAACCTCAAAATAAATTTATGGTTTCATTTAAAACTATTATTTTTTTAATCATTCAATATTGAAAGAATCATTCTGTTTTGGACAGAGATGGTTTGGATCCATCATCAGCTCACTCTCTGTGTGTTTCTCTTACATTGTCATACTGTTACCTGTGCAGACATGGCTTGGGTCATACATGCTTCTGGTCACCACGGCAACAGGCACACTGACATGTCCTTCACTAAGCAGCACCCCTGCCTTTGAACGGCCGTATCCTATATCTATGTATGTGTGTTTGTGCAAGTGCTAACAAGGTCAGTGGTTCAAATCGTATGCATCAACAAACATTTCTCCCCAGTGACCTTCTCTTCATGGCTCCAGTCAAATTGAACAAATCAACATAGTGGTTTTTCATCACTAAACCAATCTCCCTCCCCCTGTCCCTGTCTATGAGTCTCCCCTTTCAAAGCTCCCACAGCCACAGACGCTTGTCTTTGATTCAAAACACATGTTCTCTGCATGATAAAATGATGACACCACTTTGTTTGATAGTTGTGTTTATAGAGAGGAGGAGCAATGATATGCCACAGGGCCACTGACTCCATTCATAACATCTGGGTGAGACAGTGCAAGGGAAGGAGGGGTGGCACTGTTACCATTTTACTGCTTCTATATCCAACTACACAACTACTTTTCATCTCTTTGGTTTATTTATTTATTTATTTTAATTATTTTGATATTTTTGTTAAATCATCTCTTTGGCTCTTTGCATTCCACAAAAAAAAAAATACCTGCTAAAACAAATCCTGTTTAAATCTCTTGTGTGGAATTTTGTTGGTGTTGATTTTGGTACCTCCTTGTGGTCAAAACACTTTGTCTTAGGTTTTTGCTGCGTTTGTTACCTCCGCCAAGGTGGTTATGTTTTCGGTAGCGTTGGTTTGTTTGTTTGTCTGTTTGTCTGTTAGCAACTTTACGGGGAAAGTAACAGACGGATTGACCTGATATTTTCACCAGAGGTGCGTCTCAGCCCCAGGAGGATCCCATTACATTTTGGTGGTGATCCGGACAAAATACTGAATAGGTGGCACAGTGGTGTAGTGGTTAGCATTGTTGCTTCACATCATGAAGGTTATGGGTTCAAATCCCCTTGTCAGGGCATTTCTTGTTTAAGGGGGGACATGAGCTGTTTGGCGGAGGTCTGCGTTCTCCGAGTGCTTTTCTAGTTCTGTATGTTTTAAAGCTCCTGTGAGTAACTTTCAACTTGTTTACAAAGCAGTCTTTGCTTATCTTTTCCTCTACCTCCTTTAAGAGTCATCTGATGAAAAATATCGAATCCTGCTGTTTTATGTTATGTTATATGTTTTATGAATTTTGGCCGTTATTGTGAATATTGTGTGTGGAAATGGTAAAAATAGGGCTGTTTATTCAGCTACTCAGCTGACACCTACCCCCTCACACAGATTTCAGACATTAAAAATTAAAGTAAAATATCGTTAGTCATGTCACTGATGG